ATTTATATTCGATGCACATAGCTGCATGCATGAAATTCAGACAAAACCACAGATGCACAAAATAACCAAGGCATACTGTTATTATTTATTGTTTGTCTCCCAGAAGTGTATAGAGTCTACAATCAATGCTCAATGCTGTTCTAACACAGAACAAAAAGGCAGTTCCTCTCTAGAAGAACATACAACAGAATTTAACATAAAATGTACCAAGTAATTGTAGTGATGAGGGTAACAGTAACATGATAACTACTTTGCAGAACCCATCTATGTGCTCAGACCTATGTTTTTTAAATAGTTCATGCCTTTAATATAAATAAATATGACAAATATAAGAATTGCCTGCCAAACATCTCTGCTTAGCTGTAATCAGCTGCCAACTTACCATCAGCGTCACAGAAGAAGTTGGTCTCACGGAGACATTTGGAGGAACACAAGCTAGTGGATTTATGGATTCATTTGGAGGGAGTGTCCTGGCATAAGAGTCAGCATGGAAGAAATTGGGAAAGGTGCTGGTATGACAGGTGAATGAAAGGATCTCCGCCTGTGAAATCTGATCTTTTGTGTGCTTTTACACTCTACCATACAGATTTCATGGAGATCAGTGTTTCTGTTTGGTAGTTCTGATTCCAAAGGGAGTTGCAGGGGGTTGCAAGGTTATTTGGGGGGGGCTCATGGTAAAGCCACTGTGCAGCTAGAAAGCAGTAGCTGTTGGCCAGGCGTCTGTTCTGAAGGCAGCACCCCTCAGCAGCAGTGCAGAAGCAACGTTGGCAATACCATACCGCACCCTTACTTCAGCACTGCTACCTTCATAGTTGTGCAGCTGGAGAGAAGCAGCTACTAACTGGGGACCTATCTCTGCAGGCAGCAGCACAGAAGTAAGGAAAGCAGTACTGCAACCCCCTCTAAAATAACCTTGTTATCCTCCTACACACACACACACACACACACACACACACACACACACACACATATACAACTCCTTTTTCAATCAGGACCCCAACAATTGTAACACCTTGAAATTTCAGGTTTAAACAAGTGAAATAATTAAATTTATTATTTTTAAAAGCCTATCACTGTGAAATTGCCAACATGGACTGTGAATTTGATAGTGCAGAGGTGGGCAAAATACAGCCTGCAGGCCAAATCCAGCCCACCCACCAAACTGCTGGATCCAGCCTGCCACCATCCCATGGCCCAGTGGGAGTCTCAGACAGAATCCCTGCCGGTTGCTCTCCTGCATACCGCACAAAGCTGCTGGCTGCAGAGGCCATGTGATCTCAGTGTGCTACATGCCTCTGGGGTGGGGAAGGTCTCCACATGTTGCCTGCACTGCTTTCCAGCCAATGGGAGCTGCAAGATTGTGCTGGGGATGGGGGCAGTGTGCAAAGCCCTCCCTCATCTCCTGTTTACAGTATGCAGAAAGCACATGGCTCCCTCATCTAGCTGCTTTGAGTGGCATGTGAGGGTGTGGGAGGAGGCTTTGCACACTGCCCCTGACCTCAGCAGTTCCTATTGTCCGGAAACTGGCCAATGGGAGCTGCCAGGGCCGTGTTTGTGGCACAGGTCATGCCCTCTGTCCCCCACAGCTTGCCTCTTTGAGAGGTGAGCAGGGAGCACAGCAGGCAGGGAGCCTGCCTGAGGGTCCCACTGGGCTGCTAATTGGGAGGCACCTAATGTAAGTGCCTTCTGGCCAGAGCCTGCACCTGGAACCCCATCCCCTCCCAGGCCTCAACCTGATACCTCATCACAACCCAAACCCCTGCACATCCACTCCTGTACCCAGACTCTGCACCCCAATCCCCTGCCCTACATAACAACCCCCTCATACGCTTAGTCACAACTCAGACCCCTGCACCTCTGCCCCAATTGACAATAACTCTGCATCCCCTCCTATCCCCTTCCCCTCATGTAAGACTCTTCCCCTGCACGCATACGTCTCCTAGACCCTGCACCCCCTTCTAGACACCAATCTCCTGCTCCAGGTCACAACCTCTCTGAGACCCAGCATCCCCTCATTCATCCTTCCTCCAGGTCAGAATCCTCTCCTGTACCCAGACTCCCTCCCAAACTCTGCACCCCAATCCCCTGCTCCAAGTCACAACCTCCTCCTTCACCCTTTCCTGTGCCCCAGTCCCCTCCCCCAAGCTCCCTTCTGCAGCCAACCTCCACCCCAGAAAATATTATAAAAGACTGCAGCCCTTGACAATGTACCAAATTCTTGGAGTGCTCCCCATCAAAATTATTGCCCACCCTTGTAATTGTGCCATATTAATGGGTGATGGAGTGGGCAGCATTGACCAAGAAGAGGGGATAGGGTTGCATGCAAGAGTAGACAAGTGGGAAGGGGTTAGTTTTGAAAGGCCATTATGAAAAAAAGCTTGCTTATGACGTGTTCAATGAGACTCAAGAGAAACATTGGTATAGTCACTGTGAGAGGTCAAACAGCCTTTTGACTAGACAGGAGAGTGAGATGGGTGCCAGTAGGGTCAGAGAAGATGCAGATAAGCACCTCAGAGTGTTTTAGTAGTGTACTCTGAGGTAAAGGGACTGATGGTGGAAATGCTGTGGAGGAAGAAGTGGCAAAACTTGGACGCAGCTTGGATGTATGGATGTGAAGAGGCTGAAGACACAAAGATGATTCTCATGGTGAGTCTGAGTGACAGGAAGGATGGTAGTACTGTCAGCAGTGACTGAGAATGCAGTGAAAGTCTTGAGAGGAATGAAAGGAGTCGCTTTTAACCAAGTTACAATTAAATAGATAGCAAACTACACCCAAGGAAATGACAGAGGGACAGGCCAAGATACAAGATGGTGAAGAGGAAGCAGGTAATCAAAGGATTTCCAACCAATCACATTTCTGAATGTGTGACCAGGTTTTGGTTCATTTTAGTCTTGGTCTCTTGGAAGAAAAAGGAAGTTTTGGCTTTTGCTTGTTTTCCTGTTGCATTGCCATTCAGTCTGGGTGCTGACAAACTGGGTGCTCTGGTCCATGGAATATTTAAGTGTTTCATACAAAGTGAAGCAGCTGCAATATGTGAGATTGAGAAAGACCCTCCCCTTCAGAATTCCCTGAACCCCAGTGCTTATTATATGTGCTTGGGTATCGGAAGATCTGGATTCTAATGCTTGCTCTGACACAAGAAAAGGGGGGAACTGAACCCTGGTCTCCCACAGCCCTGTTGAATGCTTTAACTACGGGGCATAAAAAGGCACCACTACCCTCCTATCTGTCTTGTCTTGCCTCCTGCAGTAATGACCGATCTAAGTTAAACATCTAACTTCAGGAGAGGATCTGCGGCTGTGAATCCCAAGTGTCATTAAGTAGATTTAAACCCAACCGTCTCTACTCGACATTTGCTATTGGGTAGCTCTTCTATCAGCTTTTGGGAATCTCCTTCTGAGGTATCTAACTCTCCACATGCATTTATAGGGAGCGTGTGCGCCTGACTCAGGGCTGAGGATTCCAGAAAGTGGCAGGGATCCTAAAGTGAGGTATTGCAACACAGAACCTAAATCCTAAGTGAGGTGGTTTTAGCCTCAAATTCATCTTTACAATGTGATGCCGGGTACAGCTGCCTTTTCTGCCTGTAGATAAGGCAGCCTTTGGGAATTATTGGTATTTGAGATGCTGCCCCAAAGAAATAAGCAAGAAATAAATACTCTATTGTCTTTTAGCTTTTTATTTTTAAACAAACCTTCAGTTGGACTATTGTGAATTCCTTAAAGGCCCATACTCATGAATTAGATTACTGTGCCAGTGATGGTTGGCTTTCAAATTCATTTCACACGTTTTGAAAAAGACAGATGAAGATACCTGGTAAGTGGCAGCTTAAGTTTGCAGATGATACCAAACTGGGTGGGGTTGCAACTTCTTTGGAGGATAGGGACATAATTCAAAATGACTTTAGCAAGTTAGAGAAATGGTCAGAGGTAAACAGGATGAGGTTTAATAAAGAGAAATGCAAAGTGCTCCACTTAGGAAGGAACAATCAGTTCCATACATACAAGATGGGAAGCGACTGTCTAGGAAGGAGCATGGCAGAAAGGGATCTAGGAGTCATAGTGGACCACAAGTTGAATATGAGTCAACAGTGTGATACTGTTGCAAAAAAAGCAAATATGATTCTAGGTTGTATCAACAGGTGTGTTGTAAGCAAAACTCGTGAAGTCATTCTGCCGCTCTACTCTGCACTAGTTAGGCCTCAGCTGGAGTACTGTGTCCAGTTCTGGGCACCACATTTCAAGAAAGATGTGGAGAAATTGGAAAGGGGACAGAGAAGAGCGACAAGAATGATTAAAGGTCTAGAGAACATGACCTATGAAGCCAGGCTTCATGAACTGGGCTTGTTTAGTTTGGAAAAAAGAAGATTAAGGGGGGACATGATAGCGGTTTTCAAATATCTAAAAGGGTGTCACAAGGAGGAAGGAGAAAATTTGTTCCTCTTGGTTTCTGAGGACAGGACAAGGAGTAATGGGCTTAAAGTGCAGCAGGGGAGGTTTAGATTGGACATTAGGAAAAAATTCCTAACTGTCAGGGTGGTCAAATATTGGAATAAATTGCCAAGGGAGGTGGTGGAATCTCCCTCTCTGGAGATATTTAAGAACAGGTTAGATAGACATCTGTCAGGGATGGTGTAGACGGAGCTTGATCCTGCCTTGAGGGCGGGGGGCTGGACTCGATGACCTTTCGAGGTCCCTTCCAGTCCTATGATTCTATGATTCTATGACTCATAGATATGTCATCTATCTCAGACCTCTCAAATAACATCTTAACTAGGGGGAGAATATTAATCTAACCTGTGGACATATTTCAATGGATGGAAAATAAATCCCTTGTCTAGTTACTGGCATTGATTCACATTGTTGTGTTGTTCCAGGAGCTCTTAAATGCTCTAAGTCCAAAGAAGTATATTGATTTTTGTTTCCAATATTGTTGGTGAAGCTGGCTTTTTGCCACATCCTAACAGTTTCCCAGCTATTACACAATGACTTCAACAACTGTAGGGTTTGGACTTTTATAATACTTTATTAAACAAAAAATAATCATTCATACCTACTGATCCAGACTATAAAACAAAGACAAGATTAATAAAAGAAAACCAGCAAACATTCACTGCATTTTCATAATTGTACACATCAGTATTTCTGACATGAATAAAGTCTAGCTATTGATAAAAAAACATAAGTAGTATTTTAAAAATAAAGATAATATGACTAATTTTGTCCTAACTTCAGTATTCTGTAAGGCTATGTCCACAGTGGGAAATTGTTTCAAAATAACTTATTTTGAAATACTAACTCCCGAAATAACTACTTTGAAATAGAGTGTCCACACTACAGGGAAGCCTCAAAATTAGTCTGAGGCAGGCTCCTTAAATGTAGATACACTACTTTGACTGAGAGCCCCAGGAAGCACTGAGGAGTTATTTTGAAATAACAGCAGCTGAGCATCCACACTAACTAAATTGTTATTTCAAAATAAACATTATTCCTCATCACAAGCAGGAGCTATTATTTCGAAATAACAAGCATGTTATTTTGAAATAATGGGATTGCTGTATGAATGCCCACCTTCTTATTCTGAAATAAGGAGAGTTATTTCAAAATAACTCCCTAGAGTAGACATGCCCTAACTGACAGATCAGATGCCAGAGTCACACCTGAGGTAAGATAATTGAAGCTACCAGAGTTATACTGGCAAAGAATTTTGCTACTTGTTTTTGGAGTGTTTCTGAAAAATGTTAATGGAGGTCACAGTAAATTGCAGAGTTCCAAACTGGCTCCATGGAACTATGTAGAATGGCACAGCTTCCATTCTATTGCAGCATATGATATACACCAAGAGGCCACTTTCAGCCCCCAAGACACAGTGCTAAGAAAATGCAACCATCCACAAATGGTTAACATCAATAAGGTTGTTTTTTTTCCCCCTGAAGTGCAGCTTTCGGAAAGAAATGCATTGGAGCCCCACCATCTAAAATATACTGGTGGATTTCAAGGAAGGAGCCATAGCAACCATTCCCACGGCTTCAGTTTAATTGACGAGCTGCTCTTTAAAGATCGAGCCCTAATGCTACTCTAATTATAATCTTTCGATAATTATTTGAGGCCAGGGTTTAATATGATATTGATGGCCTTCCATACCTGGAGCAATGGTGATGAAATTGAAGTTCCATTTCCATGTGTTATCCAAATACAGACATTTCTTTGAATTCATAACAATGTGTGAACAACTTCCCTACTGCTATGCATGTTCTGTCCATCAGTAAGTCATGTATTGAATCTATCTTTACAGCAGAGGTATTTTTAGTACACCTGCCACCATTGAACCTAAACACACCTTAAAAAACTAAGAACCCAAACTTGCAACCACTTATTAAGAGGCATAGAGTTTATTACTGTGAACAGTCCCTTCAATGGGACAGTGCACAGTAATAAATCCTATAACTGGTAGTTATTCTTCGTAGAATAATCTAACATAAACATTATCCAAAGGGAAATACAATCTGACTTTCTGTGATCTCTAGTTGTTGTATATATTCATATCAGTGTAACACAGGTTGAAAAATCAAATTGTATTTTACTTGGTAGCCATCATTGTAAACATACAGGGTATGGTCTGAGGGGTTATAGTTGATACTTTGAATTGTTTCTAACATTTTGTCCATAATTATACTAATTTTACCTTCCTGTTCAGTGTTTGTGTTGAATGTGTAAAATATTTCCTCCTTCCTAGTATTGACAGGTCTTGTGGCATATAGAACACCACATATGATGAAAGCGTTGGAAACAGATGGTTTGTACTGCTTTGTTTTCCACGTATGGAGCACATCCAGTGTGGTCTCATTGAGTTTGCTAATCACAATGTTACCTGTGCTGTCCTCGGTTGAATAGATTACCCACAATCCACTTTCATCCACAGCAAAGTCTATATCTTGCCACCCAACACCAGCGTACGAGAAACGATTACCCATAGCAGCATCGGGCAGAGTTTTCCTCACAGTCAATGTGTTTGTGTTTAAATCAAGCTTGCCCATATCTCTTGAATTATATATATTGTAATACATGGAGTTATTGTAAACTGCAGTGCCACTGCCTTCCCCGTATACAATTCTTTTCTCTCTAGCATTTTTGAATAGCAGCAAATCGTCATAGGAATTATAAAGTCTGTAATATTCTAAAAGTCTCCCATCTGTGTTCAAAGGTGCAACCCAATATAAGTCATTCTGTGGGGTCTGAGGAAAGAAATCCCTACCCCAGGCACCATATTTGAAGGGAAATCCTCTCCAGTTCAGTTGTACAACATAGGGCTGGCTGATATTCACAATTCCACCATGACCACAGCTGCCTGTAAGCAAAGAGAAAATGCAGGCTTTTCAAATTCATGATTAGGAGAGAGGATTTACAGTGCTTTATCAGAAGCGCTTTGTTGCGAGAACAGAAATAAATACATATCTTTGTCAAAGGTTTGCTTTGCACCATGTAAACTGCACGTGGATTTCAGTTCTGTGGCCATCCCACTCTGACTGGAATAGAATGGTCATACCACTAGAACTGGGGTATTACTGAATAAAACAGCCAACAATCCAGGAACAAATGTTAGGGACCTTAGTGTTCAGTCAGTATTCACTTGCAGTAAATAAGTGAACAGCTTCTGTTTCAGATAAGTGACCAGTTTTCTCTTTTCCCCTGTTCTATGCTTTCCAACCCAATGGGCTGGGAAATCACATAGAAAATACAATTTCAAAATCATTTTAGGTCATTTGCTCCTGCTGTAGAGCATGGTTCCGGAAATATGGGAAACAAGAAGGAACGTTTTGTCTCACTGTACCTCAGTGAATTCTAGAAGGTAGAGGAAGAATTAACAACACTAGCTCTGGAGGCTCATTTCAGATTAGCACGCTGATGTCAAAATCACCATTTTAAAACAATATTTCACAGTGCCTTCTTGATTAACCTCTCAAAGTGGTTCAGACATTAATGAGCATAGCCTTACAATAGCTCTACAAGATGTACATATGTAAATATAGCCTTTTTACATGGGAGATAACAATAAGGTGCCCATACAAACTATTCTAACTAGGACAGTCCTGATTTTATTATGGTGTCCCTGGAACTTCAGGATGATTGAAGTATCCTCTTTTTCATTTCATTGGACAAAATATTTGGCTTTTTATAGCTACACCATGATTGTTCAAGATGTCTTGCTAAACTGAATAGAATTCATAGTGTTTACCGAGCGCAAACAGCCCAGTGGAATGAACATTCGGTATAATGAACAACATCTGGAAAGAAAACAATCTGAATGAATATAGATGCTGACATGGTTATTCCTTTGCTCGAAGCCACTACATTTTTTGAAAAACTCCTCCATTCCACAATATGCATCTCTCTAAGTCTGAAGTCTGACACCAACACAATTTAAAATAAAAGTGTCTCCTTGTCTTACTCTTTGCAGCTCTAAAAAATGTCACCATAAATGTGTGCCAGTTTTTTCTTTAAAAGCATTGTTATCTGACAGACAGATACTCAGTGATCTGCACAAATCATACAGCAAGTGAATGGTGATACCAAGTCCAGAACCAACTCAAAGTCAGGTGTTTTAACCACTAGACAATTCTCCCTATTAGAGGCAAAGTAAATTTTAATTGACAAGACCTGAATTTCATGTTTTTATTAAGTGATCAATTCAGGGCAAAAGCTGATGGCATCATAAATCAGCGCAGAGATTACACATGCTGGTAAATCATTCCTGGAGAGTAGTTGACAGTGGTTCATAGTCATGCTGAAAGAGCATAACAAGTGGAGTCCCACAGGGATTAGTTCTGGGTCTGGTTCTGTTTAATACCTTCATGAGTAACTTAGATAAAGGCATAAAGAGTACTCATATAAAGTTTGCAGGCCATACCATGCTGGGAGGGATTGTAAGTGCTTTGTAGTACAGGATTAAAAATCCAAATGATTTGGACAAACTGGAAAAATGTTCTGGAGTAAATAGGATAAAATTCAATAAGGAAAAATGCAAAATACTCTACTTCGGAAGGAACAATCAGTTGCACACGTACAAAATAGTAAATGGCTTCCTAGGAAGAAGAACTGCAGAAACGATCTGGGAATCATAGTAGACCATAAACTAAATATGAGTCAACAGTGTGACGCTATTGCAAACAAAAAGCAAACATTATTCTGAGAAATTTTAGCAGTAGTGTAGTAAGCTAGATATGAGAAGGAATTCTTCCACTGTGCTCTGCACTGATTAGGCCTCAACTGGAGTATTGTATCCAGTTCTGGGCATCGCATTTCAGGAAAGATGTGGACAACTTGGAGAAAGTCCAGAGAAGTGCAACAAAAATGATTAAAGGTCTAAAATGATTAAAGGTCTAAAATATGGGTTCTGGAAGTCGGGTGAGTAGCCCCATGTCCTCTCTCCCAGTTGTGCCTGCATTCGTGGGTGAAACCACAGGCCGCAAACTGCCCCGGGGCATGTTGCTGGCCCTATCTGTCTGGAGGGTTGTTCCGGCCCCCCCCCCGCCCCGGCGCCAGCTCCCCCGGCTGCGTCCAGCACCGGGTGTTCTGTGTCGGCGCACACGGCTCATGGCCTTCTCCCTGGGTCTTAGCACCTGCCAGATCTAGCCCAGCCACCTGGGAGCATGCCCGACAGAGATGCCACGGCAGGGGGCTCTCCCCCAAGAATTGTGTGCAAAAAATTTTCTGAGGACCGGTATTTTTTTTTCTAAGGACCGGTATTGGACCACGGACCACACTTTGGGAAACACTGATCTAAAAGATAATGGACTGGATTACATGACCTTTTAAAGTCCCTTCCAGTCCTATGAGTCTATATTTTAGAGCAGGGCTACTCAACTTTGGAAGCCGCAGGGGCACAATGATACTCACAGCACATGTCGAGAGCAGCAACTTAAGTGTGGTTGCATATACATGCAAATATATATGCAAATATATGCAAATAGCTTCTTTTACACTGACAGGCATGAATACAAAGTACTTCCCACAATGCTCCGGCACCTCCTCCCGAGGACTAGAAACACCGACACCCTGTACCTGTCTGTTTCAGCTAGCCCGTCCACTTGCATCTTTCAGTGCTGATCCCGCTTGGGAGACACCTTGCCGTTGTGAAACATATTCCCAGCAGAGGCCATGTTCAAAGGATCCTACATGCAGGCTGCGTGTTGAGAACCACATAAACCCAAACCGCACCGTGGGCCGCAAACATGGGCCCGTGGGCCGCGTGTTGAGTAGCCCTGCTCTAGTGGATAGGGTTTCTTTGACACTAGTCATTTATATTTTATCTTTTGAGTGAGTACTATTTGATGGCTGTTTGTTAGGCTATGTGAAAAGAGTTGCTGGCCTTAATCTATTCCTAATAAAGAAGTGTCTGTGTAATGCCAACAGACAGAAGCAAACTAGGATCTCTGGAGCTCTACCGCTTGAGCTAAAACCCAGCTGGCTGTCAGCTAAGGCTGTAGAGAAGACTTATTATTCTCTCTGTAAGTGGTCTAGACGTCACCACATGGGATAGTGAACCACACCCAGAAGGTCCGTGGGTTACATATACAGCACAAATAACACTTTTATCCTCTTATTAGCCGCGAGAACAGAGATAACACAAAGACAGAACTATGCTCTCACACCTAAAGCAAGGGTCCTTCTAAGCAAGGGTTGAAAAGAACCAGTGGAATAGAATTGGAAAACTCCTACAGCTACTGAGGGGCCCAGACATGCAGAGCAATGGGAGGAGGGGGCAAAGAGAACCCCTTGTGCCGTTCTGAAGGTACTCTCCCTTGGAAATGATTGAAAACGCCTGCCGCTTGGAGAAAACCAGTGCTTGCAAAATGCAAAACATTTCTTCTTCAGAAATAGAAGGATCAATGTCACTTCTGACAGGGATGATTTATTGGCCTCTAGATAGAGTAAGGCACTGCCCTAGAAGCAGGACAATATCGTTGTGGCCTTTCAGTCTAACTATTGATAACCGCTGCAGATGCTAATGTGTGTTTTACTGTAACTGTAACATTTGTGGCAGTCTACAAAATACAGTTTTGCAGTGATCTGGCTGTGTCTCCCTTGCTTTTGTCTTTCCACCTGTCCTAAGCTCCACTGTTTCCTGTCTTTTCCCATCCCTCCCTTTCACAGCCTGACCACTGATGCCCAAGCATGTGGGTGGGGAGGAGGAATTCACTCACTGCCCTCACTGCTAGGGGTTTGGGAGCAGGTTTCATTTCTTCCCTGGGGCTTCTTTGGAGCCCTGCTGATGGAAGCTGCAGAGATGCTGTGCCGAACTGCTGTTTCTCCTGGCCACCTAGGTCATGCCCCTTCTTGGTCAGCATCAGCCATTTTTGGGACTTAGTTGACTAGAGCACAGGTTGCAGTCATTCTGTGCCATTGTAACTTCTGCTGCTCAATTTTCTCTTCTGCAGACACTCTGCTGGAAAATGGTATAGCCCTGGAGTTTGCTCCCTTGCTGGAAAACACTACCAAATAATGCTCCAGTTACAGCAAATCAGCATTCTAGGCTCGGATTCAGCAAAGCATTTAAACACGTGCTTAAGTGCTTTACTGACTGTGAATGGACCGCTGAGACCTGAGACCTCATTTCCAGATATAGCACAAAATGCAAGCACTGTATGGACAGCGAGGCTGTAGCTCTGCAAATGGTACTTAGCACGGCTAATAACATGGCCTCAGTACATGGTACACGTACTGATGTTTGGAGGTGCTCGTACCTCAGTTAAAGCAATGCAAGAAAGATAAGGCAGACAATGATGCAAAGTGGCTTGCCAGCCTGCCAACTCTGTAAATCTATTTGAGTCATTTGCCTTGTATCTCTATTGTGTATCGCTACCTCTGGTATTATGGGTTGTTCTTAACTGTTGACATATTGAATCTATTACTGAACTTAACTCATAGCAATCTTATTTCAAAATTAAATGGCTATTAAGAGTGTGTATAAATCTGTGATTTGTTCCAAAAAAATATTGCTGGTACTGAGGTACTCCTAAACTCATATATATGCAACCTCAAATAATTTTTCATATCATTAAACTGAACTCATTCCAGCTTCATTTCAATAATTCATGTGCTGTTTCATAAATAAAAAACAAACGTGTGTTCAGTGGAGAGACCTTTTCTTACAAAAGAAATAATAAATTATTATTTCTTCCCTTAAAGAGATCTCTCTGCTGAACACTTGTTTGTTTTTTATTTATGAAACCATGCATGAATTATTAAAATAAAGTTAGGAGCATGTTCAGCTTAATGACATGAGAAATTGTTTGAGGCTCCATACAGTGGATGTTTGAATATGATTTTTGAAAACTCTCCCAGAAA